ATGGGTTTTAAGGCCCTTCTTATCAATATCTGATTGATATTGTGTCAACAGTGAAGTACTAATAATGGCTGATCTTGGTTCCGAAGTTATTTGTGTACTTCATGGGAAATTTGAAATGGAAATATCTGCAGTGCAAAGGTCACCTTTCACTGAGATGTCTTGCAGAAAAGGTTTACATCTATGACTATGTTTAAAACACGTTTACCCTTCACATGATATGCATGTATCTCCTGTTAAACCTTTGTATACAGGTAATGATGAAATGGCCAGGAAGGGTGTGGGTGTTTAAAGATTCTATTTCGATCCCAGGTTTATGTTTAGAAGTTGTTTGAATTGAACAGTCTTCACATGATGAGGTTAATGTGTATGCTAAATAAGAAGGGCATTGAGAATTCAAAGTTGTTGCAGTTAATAGCAGTATTATGAGACTGTTGGGACGGTGGACGGCAGCAGAATATTGAGATGATATCATGGCTTTTAGTGATTAAAAAAAAGTTAATGAACTGGCTTGCAGTAATGAATCCCATAAATCTCTATTCAGAGAAGTTTGTCACATGCTTTAAGAGGCAAAATGTACATTTATTATGCAGTATAATGCTCCAGAGGGTATTTTGACACTGAGCATGGAAAATGATGAGGGGCACACTGTTTGCAAATATGCCTTTATTGAAAGTTAAATGGCACAAAATATTCCATAATGTTTTAATTTAGAAGTGCTCAGCTGCAGGGGTGCCCTCAATATACATTCACAAATGTTGCAGGACTACAGTTCCTGCAATGCCTTTAAAACGGCAGTGCATTATGGCAGTTGTAGTTCTCCGATAACTGGGATCTTCCTTTTTGGATATCCCCAAAAAAGGTACAAAAGCAAAAAGCATCTTGCGAAAGGCAATGGGCCTTTCGCAAGATGCTCTTTGCTTGTATAACTTTTTTTGTTAGCATACGCAGTTTTTGGCGTTTACAGCCGTGTGTTTTTTTTTTTTTTATTCCAATAAATGTATTTTTAGATGAGTGCCAAAAACTTGTTAAACCCCCAGACCTCTTTTGATCTTATTTAAATCTAGTTTTAATGCTTACATAGAATGGATTTAATACAGGGATTTGATATTAAGGAATAACATTTACTCTTAGGAGCAGATTAATACATAATGAAGTATATTATCCAGCAATATTGGATCAAAATGTATGCATGAAAACTGTTAACACGATTGCAGATAGTGAAATGAGTGGGTCCCATAATTCCCTGATGCTTTTACATCCGATATAAAAGTAAATTGCAACAAATTAGACATATTTTGTACCTAGCTAAACATATTCATAGGCCATTATTGAGCAACCTCGAATTCCTTTACTTCAACTTGCCTTTTTCTTCCCCGCTGAAAACCCTTTATTTGTGATGCTCACAGCTTGAGCCACTAAACACATTGCCGTACTGAAAACCTGTATAGTGGAGAATTGTGACCCTTTTAACTTATTTATGTTCTAGATGACGAATCTCCTGGACTGTACGGGTTTCTTCATGTGATCGTTCACACTGCCAAAGGATTTGATCATTCTGCCAGTAAGTAACTGTTTTGCTGGTGTGAGATGTGTGGTACTTAGAATTGGTAACACAGTGGAGGATCAATTAAACCGTAGCTAAATTTTGCAACCCATGAAAAAGCTGGCTGCAGATAAGTAGATTTTATTTTAATCCTGCTTCAACAGAGCAAGTGTTAAAGGTCGATGTATCCTGGTCAAATGCATCAAATGAGATTCCTACCTTTGAGTATTTACTATTTCATATTTGCTGTTCTGCCATCACAGAAAATGGTAGTCAAAATAGTGTTGAAATTTTATATTATTTATGTGTGTTATATTTATAAATAATTTTTATAATGTGTAAAGTTATGATATAAAAAAAATAAACATTTTGAAATGTTAAGTTCTGATATGGTAATTATCTGTGTTCAATGTTCTAAGCTAGGGGTGTTAGCAGCAGAGTCTCTCCAGTTGATATAAAACTAAATTCCCTGAAAGCTCGGACAACAAGAGTCAATGATAACTTCAGATTAAATTCTGTTATATATTGACTGGAAGAGGCAAACCAATCCCATACATATAGTTTATCCCATCCCATATAGTTTAATACTGTTTCTGGCATTTTCCTGTGAAAAATTCTCCATACCCCTGATATAGATGAGGGGGTAACAAAAATGGGGGGGAGGTCTGCCCATGCATTTTTACATAGTATTTAGATTACCCTTTTTGTCCCTGTGGTCCAGTGGGGCTACTGAGTGGCTGGGCTTGCGGTCCCTGGGGTCCAGTGGGGCTGCTGAGTGTCTGGGCGCGCGGTCCCTGTGGTCCACTGGGGCTGCTGGGCGTGCGGTCCCTGTGGTCCACTGGGGCTGCTGAGCGTCTGGGCGTGCGGTCCTTGGGGTCCAGTGGGGCTGCTGAGCAGCTGGCGTGCGGGCGGTATGGGAGCAGTGATCTTCCTGATCAGCTCCTTTGCGCGCCTCTTGGTGATGCCGGAGCAGGAGTGACGTCATATTCCGGCTCCGGCATCACTGCTGTGCGCGCGAGGGAGCTGAGCAGGGGAGAGTGCTCTCTCGCCGCCGTCGGCCATTTTGTTTCACAAAATTTAGACGGAATCCCATTTGTGATCTCGGAACACCAATTGTGAAACGCTGCTCTTTACCCATTGTGTGCATTTGATATTCCTCCATTGAGTACCAGGCATTGGTTAAACATTATATCCCAATGAGCTACACTTCCCTTGATATGATTGTGGAGGTGTCCACTTTAAAACATTGTCTGTTGTTCATTACTTTCTGTCTTGTTGTGAAGATATTTAAGGAAATCTATAACACAATGCCTGGCTGGCGTTCTCAACATTTAACTTTGTCAAGTCAACAGAAAACAAAATGTGTTTCAGAATCTGAACCTCGCACATAGTTCACCAGCAGACTTTCAACTAATCTTATGTTGACTGTATGGTGGAGGCGCATGTTTGTTTATTTTAGATACATGGGACTTCAGCTTTAGATGTTTAATGCTGCTAAATGTAGCTGGTGTCTCAGCCCTGGCCCATGTTTCAGCTGCATGCGTTGTGCAAGTTCAATTCAGTCCTGTGATACTATTTTCACATTGGAAAAGAATTGGGTAAACCATTATACTGAAAAATAAAGTGATTTATTGAACTTAAATAATACATGTCGTTTCACCTTTATTCCATATGCAAACTTATTAAGCTGAATAAATGTACTATAGTGACAAACAAAAAAAAACAAAAGCCAAATGATTCGCTAAAAGTGTTACAAAGCAGTATGTGACATGTTGCTAAAGTGAATGTGGTGTTCTCCTCGGCTCATTCCATTGATTAAACTAACATTTCATTTTTAGTAAAATGTACTCTTTGATGACATTCTTTGGCCATGAGGCATATGGGGGAGCATTTTATAAACAATTTCCCAATATATAACCATGTGAAGAATATCTTGGAAATTCCACCTGAACATTAAGCATTTAAACAAAATGCTGGACTTAGATCCTCATTTTTTTTGGTACTAATTCTACTTAAACCTAGCCTGACTGCTTGCAGTCTAGCACTGGATTTCTAAACATGCCCATTCCCCAACACCTACATTCTCTTGCACAGAAAATAGCTAGCTCTTTGTTACTGCAGCATGCTAGCCCAAGCTTTAGCTGAGATTTGTACAGCTGGGTAAAGTGACAACCTTTCTGGCTTTGGCACCATATATTTATATATTTTCATACCTGTCTAATGTTTAGCAATTCAGCCTTTCTTTGCGCAAGGTTATTACATGGATAAAAAGCTTCTCTCTTATTCTTGTCTGTTCGCCACATTTCCTGTACAGAAAGAGATATGGTGTACTTAACTTCGAATTCTACTTTTATCTTCCATTAGATCTTTACTGCACACTGGAAGTGGACTCATTTGGGTATTTTGTCAATAAAGCCAAAACTAGAGTCTTTCGTGACACCACAGAGCCCGAGTGGAATGAGGTATGAAACCAAAAAAAATTGTTTTTGAATTTGATCCGATACTTTACATGTCTTACAAGATGTTAATAGTTTCTCTGTCTTATGTCCTGTCTCTTCCTCATCCCCAGGAATTTGAAATTGAACTTGAGGGGTCTCAGTACCTGCGAATCCTCTGTTATGAAAAGTGCTACGATAAGAGCAAGCTCAATAAAGATAACAATGAGATTATGGACAAGATCATGGGCAAGGGGCAAATCCAGGTAAAGACACAGATAGCACCTCCTAGAGGCAAAAATCACCTACTAATGAAAAGAATATATGGTTATATATATATATATATATATATATTTAAAAAAAAAAAATGCTGGATCATCGTAAGCTTTAGAATTCAATGACATTTGTTACAATAAAGTAATTTTGTTAAAAACAGAGAGAAAAAATGTGTCTTTGTGAATCCGCATCTGCTAATATGTATACAGTATAATGATTTCTAGAACAGTCACTGTAAGCTTGGATAAGTCATCCCTGGTACAAATTGGTTACCTGTTCTAGTAAAAAGCTAGTTTGTAGGTAGAATTAAAAGCTTTCACCTGAAAAATTACATTATTTGCAACATGCTCAATTTAAATTAATATGCTACCATTTTAGGTGTTTCTATTCCCTTTAAGCTGCGTAATGTGTGTGTGTGTGTGTGTGTGAATACATGTATACATCGATACATATACACAAACATATAAGATCCAGTGCACTCGCTTAGTCACTAAACCTGAAATTTCACAGACTCTAATATTTGTATTTATTTATTTTTCAACACCTAACCTAGGCAAAAATAATTGGGCTTTAGTTATACATAAATATATAGGAAAAGGGAAGCGGATCTCCACTGTATAACACCTATCAAAATTGGCGTTCCCAGTAGAGACAAACTTCCCCTGTACCCAATAGGGAGAGTCCAGGAGTCTCCAGGGCTTAACCCCAAGATACTTAGAAAAAAGAAAAAAAACAGAGCACACACCTGTTACAAAACAGATGTAATGACCTGAGTTTGCCTGGAAATAATGAAATCTAGACTACTTCATTATTTCCAGGCAAACTCAGGTCATTACATCTGTTTTGTAACAGGTGTGTGCTCTGTGTTTTTTTTTCTTTTTTTTAGTTATACATAGATGGCAGAAACACCATATATATATATATGCGCGCACACACACACACATTAAGACACATCTGGAAGTTGGCTAGCTCACACTAGCTTTCTTTAGCCGAGTCAAGTCACGCTAGATTTCTTTAGCCGAGTCAAGTCACGCTAGATTTCTTTAGCCTAGTCACACTAGATTCCTTCAGTGTTGTTGCTAAAGCTTCAACTGAGCATATATCATACTTGACAGTCTTCTTGTGGCTGCCTTCATGACTGCTCATGCTATAGCGTCAAGGGAGAAGAAATAGGCCTTGCCCTGTTCACAGACTGGATAAATCCATAAATAGCTATGGTATTTACAATACAACATACAGTCATAGTTTCTCGCTACTTTTTAATACGTGTTTACCTTGTTTCCTGTTCTGATCATTTCAGATTGCCAGTTGTCAGGATTGATGCTCATGAAGTAATAATGTTTTAGACTTTACCAAAATTGTTTTTACTATCAAGTTTGATCATATGCTGACATCACTGCATTACACTCTTCTTCAATTTGCTGTATGTATGTTCTGTTGGCTAGATTCCAGTCTATATCTATGCTGTTGTATGTGTTCACCATCCAACACTTGTGAAAGTTCACCTTCATGTTTTATATATATATAAAATTTATTTTTTATTGATTCTCATCACCCTCTTTAACTCAGTCTTCTATAAGGTTAATTTAACCATGAAAAAGTTGTTTGGCATTTAAAGGCTGCACACAAATGATGAGGACATTGAATTCAGTGCTTTCTAATTAGCTACTTTTGGTCACATTGTCATTGTAGAGGAAACACCTATTGTGGCTGCTTGTAAGAGAGCCATTAGAGGTGTGTGTAACCCTACAATGTAAAGCAATCATGTCACACTCGTGAACATCTTTGTGGCCCGGCTGTAGTGATGCCGGGTGCCGGAATAGGACGTCATATTCTGGCACCCGACATCACTAAACTGCGCGTGAGGGAGCCGTGAGGAGCAGGAAGGAGATCTCCAGATAGAAGACCCCAGGGAGAGGCCCCACACAAGCTCCCAAAGATAGGGAGCAATAAATAAAATGATGTGAGTGTGTGCACGAATGTCTGTCGGTCTGTGTTGCGATGGCCGCGGCTGGATAGTGGGGACCTGAAGGTGCACAGAGGCACGCAACGTCACGTCACTTTCTGACGTGACGTCAACGTGCTCCACCTTCACAGGGTTTCAATAAGTAGCAGGAGGATCCACTTTGGCACAGGGTGTGGACGGCACCATTTAGGGTATACCAGAGGACGGAGTCGCATACTGGCAGCGGCAATGTGAGTGGAGTCTGCTTGTTGGCTAGAGATGGGACTGGGATATAGTTTATAGGGGTCAGGGGACTGGGATTAAGTAGAGGGGGATGATGTGGTTTAGTAGCGGGGGATGCTGCTTTTTTTTTAATTTATTTTTTATACTGTACTTTTCAAAATAAACCTCTGTTTCTATGAAAATGTAAGTTTTGGTGTTATTTGCGGCTCACATAAACTTAAACCTTGTTTATTTGGCCTGTGCTAGACTTTGAGTTTGACATGCTTGATGTAAACATTGCAGTTTCTACTAATTTTTTTACATTATACATTGCAGGTTTAAAACTACAGGGACACTACAGCCAGACCACTTTATTGAGATTAACTGGTCTGGGTGACTTTACTAGGCCCTTTAACACTTTGCTATGGAGGATGTGTTTAAAATGTAATCATATGTAATTATGGTGTTTAAAATGTTTCGAGTTGTACACTTGTGCTATTTTCTTCTGTGTTACCTAATGCCAGGGATGGGGCTACAGGGAGTGGTAAAAGAGTCTGGAGATCCAAATCCCAAGTGAGGTCCTGGAAAGCCCCAGGTGTAAAGGAACACTATAGGGTCAGGAGCACAAACGTGTATAAATGTTAAAACCACCATCTAGCCCCCATGGTCTCCTCTTGCCTCCCTAAATATAGTAATATCTTACTTGTATTCAAGTCTGCAGCTTCTGGCTCTAACATTATCACAAGTGGTGGTCTGAGCCAATCACAATGCTTCCCCATAGGATTGACTGTCACTGAGACAGATCAAGGGCAGAGACAGCACTGGCAAATCAGCATCTCCTCATAGAGATGAATTGAATTAATGCATCTCTGTGAGGAAAGTTCAGTGTCTGCATGCAGAGGGTGGAGACACTGAATGTTGTGATGCACACTAGGCAGGACTGCCCCAGGAAGCACCATTAGCAGCCATCTGAGGAGTGACCAGTGGAGTTATCACTAGGCTGTAATGTAAACACTGCATTTTCTCTGAAACGACGGTGTTTACTGCAAAAAGCCTGAAGGGAATGATTCTACTCACCAGAACAAATACAATGGAGCCTTTAATTTTGGCTCAATTTCAGTGTTAGTCCTGAGTGTTCTATAAGAGAGTATTAGCACCTCCAGTTATATAAATTGGGACAGTGCCATTTTAATGTACTGTATTTGCAGTCAATTATACAGCACAGTGTGGTGGGGATATAGCTGTGGGTGCCGAATTTTAAAGTGGCACAGTGAAGGGTTGAATACAGCATGTTGTTAAAAAGTATAAGTTCATGTAATCCTCTGAATTCAATCAAAGATTTGGTGTCACAGTGCAATTTACTTTATAGGGCTAATTTAGTACAGTCTTAATTCAATATATATAGGAGGGGCCATGAAATTTACCCTTGTCTTTTTACCACCTATAACAAGCATGTCACACTCAAAGGCTAACACGGGTCAAATAAACAAGGTTTAGGTTTATGTGGGCCTCAAAAAAAAAAAAAAAAGAAGTTTGATCTAGACCATGGGTCGTCAACCTGGTCTCTACCGCCCACTAGTGGGCATTTCAGGATTCCAGGTGGGCGGTAGGGATTTTCTAATTTTGAGAGACCGGACGGGCGGGTGCGAGCCAGCGGTACCCCTGCGACCGGGTACCGCCATCACCATTTGCGGCCCCGGCCCGTGCGGCAAACCACCGGGGCCGCATATGGAGGGTTCCATTGGGTGGCCCATGCTGTCAGGGCCACCCGATGGATGTGGATTGTAAGGGGGCCCGGTCAGCGCTGGGCACTTTAACAGCGCGACCGGGCCCCCTGTGATGACATCACCGAGCTGGGAGGAAGTTACTGCACGTCACTCCTCCCAGCTAACACTGAGAGCCGCGCGGGAGGAGGACCAGGGAGTCAGAGTGGGAACTCTGACTCCCATCCACCTGAGCCACCACTGGACCCCAGGGAAAGTCACCCAGGAGGGTGACTAAAATATTTTATGTGTGTTTGTGTATGTGTCTTTGTATGTATGTCTTATGTGTGTCTGTTTGTATGTGTGTCTGGGCATTGCTGTAAGGAAGGTTAATAAAAAAGGGGGGAAAAAGGTGGGGAAGGTGAGGAGGGGAGCTGACGCACAAATGAGAAATCATATTATGCGCAAATAGAGAAGTTGTCTGAATATCACCGAAAGAGGAGACCTTCATTTGTTCCTAACGAAAATCGAACCAGATATCAAATATTTAGTCTCGCAGCATCAACCTCAAGGATCTCATTAATCACTAGTAAAGGTAATTTCAATTTAGTTTGTTTTCTCATTAAACTTTATCAAGTTAAAAACATTATAAACATGCATTAAGTAGAAATAAAAAGATAAATGTACGTACATTTATTTTTTTTTAAAACACCCTCCTTTCTAAAAAATATTCCGCACTTGCGCGAAAACTGGTGGGCGGTAAGGAAATTTTCATCCAAAAAGATGCATTAGTGGGCGGTAGGTAGAAAAAGGTTGACTACCACTGATCTAGACCAATACAAACTAAAATTACTTGTATCATTCTCATGCAAACAATATGTAATCCTGGGTACATGGATATAAAAAGCTTCACTTTAAGTTTCTCACTATGCCCCCCCTCCCCCTCAATCTAATACACAGCCTCCCACGGCCCTGTGGTCCCACTCTAATTCACTACTCCCACTTCCACCAATCTAATTCACTGCCCCCCAATCTAATACACTGCCCCCACTCCCACCAATCTAATACACTGTGCCCCCAGTCCCCCAATCTAATTTAATACACTGCCTTCCCCAATCTAATACACTGCCCCCCCCATCTAATATTATACACTGCCTCCCCTCCCTCCTCCAATATAATTTAATACACGGCCCCCCTCCCTCCCCCAATCTCATATTATACACTGCCTCCCCTCCCCTCAATCTAGTACTCTGCCCCCCCTCCCTACACTCTACTTTAACACACTGTCCCCACTTGCACCACTCTAATTTAATACTGTCTCACCGGCTAGTTACCAGCAGTATTTATTGCCGGTCAATTTCTGCTTACCTTTACCACCTGCGCTAATGAAATACTATCGTATTAGTGCTGTGCAAAGTGCTAGGACAGGGAAAGGCAACCTTCGGCACTCCAGATGTTGTGGACTACATTCCCCATAATGCCCTTACACACATAATGCTGGCAAAGTATTATGGGAAGTGTAGTCCAAAACATCTGCAGTGCCGAAGGTTGCCTGTGCTAGGACGTCCTGTATTATCTTACATAGTGTGCATCTCGTTTTCCGATTTCACCGTAACGCTAGATCTCTGGGCCTGGAAAATGAATTGTAATGTGCGAAATGAGCAGGAATGTTTACTTGTGCTTTGGAACCTTGGATTTTAATTTTTCTTCCTGCTCTAAATGTTAGTCTTCGGGGAAAATACGGAATGTACTGGCACCTCTGCAAGGCCTCTTTTATCTTATGTTACTCTCCTCATTGAACTGGGGTCATGTCAGAGATGTGCAATGTATAGGAGAATAACATTTCTCCCTGCTTATTTAATAGAAACTACAAGCTAATATTTTATTGGTTTCCCATCACTGGACTGGCTGTATGGTACATCATATTGTAATTGTTTTTTTGTTTTTATTAGACGTTTATTATGATTATATTAT